TTGAGTGATTTATCTTGCTTATGGATCAGTCACTTTTTCTGCTGCTTTGCATATCTAAGTTTCGGTTACATGCTTGCCATTTTGATTTTACATTGCTGGATGCTATATTTTGTATTCCTTTAAAGAGTGTTGAATGTTTTCTAGGAAGCAGATAAGTTTAATTTTTTATGTACTTGTTTTCATACTCTTTTATGGTGACTCTAAATCTATATCTAAATTACTCTAGATCTAAATTACTCCATTTCTAAAGTGTGGTCTTCCTGAGTGTTGATAGAATCCCCATGTAAACATTGTGTCTCCATTCTTGCTAGATGGAACTTGAATGATTCACATCCCTGTGTGAGCTCAGGAAATGGCTTTAGAACTTTCTGGTAATTTTCTTTACTTGTCAAGTTGTTCTTGCCAAGCTTCACAGAGTTTCACCCTACATATGTACAGATTGGTATTTAGCCATCGACTCAAGGGATTTCTATGCAGATTTGTGGAACTCTTTCTTTCCATCCTCTAAGGGACCCTGACCCACAAAGCTGCCTTGGCCTTTCTTTACTCTGGTTTCTTTATGTTCATTTATCGAGAGAGCTGGGTTCATTTTAGGTTATCTGTCTGTGTGCCATAGTCTAGTATTCACTTGCAGGAGGGAAGTCTGGAGTATTGGTAGGGATTATCTCATTTGTTTCCTTTTTCTCAGGGAACAAAATATTGTGCTTCCTGTTGCCCATTGACTGAAAACAGTTGTTTTCTTTGTTTTACTCAGTTTTCCATGACTGAAAACAGTTGTTTTCTTTGTTTTATTCAGTTTTCCAGTTGTTAATGGCAAGAGGGTAACTACCAAATACTTTAATTTCTTGTGGCCATTTCAGAAGTTCCCTTCATAGATACTTTATTTAGACGGCAAGTGAGATTTTTAAAATAGGAGAGATTCCCCAAAGCAAATAGCAGGACCAAAAACTTGTCTGATACCATAATATGTGAAGGTTGTAGGGCCAGATATACCCAAGACAGGTGGGTGCCTAGGTGGGGTAAGAGTCAGAGAAGCACAGAAAGATTGTATGGATACCTGTTTACTATGGTCCTGGGTACCTCAGGACTCCCACTTCCACTCACCTTACTTTCAGGTCACTACTGTACCTGCTGCTTTCGTGATGTTGGAAATCCCCTGAATAGAGAATCTATTCTTTCACTGTCATTAAGATGATTTTTATACATCACAATGAAATACTGCTCCATAGGGCAGTAAAATATTGACATCAAAGTATACATGACAGGTACTTAGTATTTTGCTGGGATTTACGAGGGAGGAAGGAGCCCTAGTAAGACTTTGACCTTGATGGGTTTTTGAGGATCTTCCCTACCAGCATGTTGTTGTTGTTGTTTGTTGTTATGTGCCGTTGAGTCAAACCCGACTCATAGCGACCCCTCCTTGGGTTTCCGAGGCAGTATCACTACGGAAGTAGGATTGCCCAGCCTTCCTTCCGAGGAGTGGCTGGTGGGTTTGAACCGCCAGCCGTCTGGTTAGCAGGCAAGACCAACATAGTTGTATTCAGTTTATCCACCTTACCTCTCTTTTTTCCCTCTGTCTTCAGTTTTGATAGTGTGCCTTTCCTTATGCATGACCATGACTTGAAACGAACAACCGATATCCATGAGGTGATGCCCAGTGCTACCTTCAACAGATGTGAAGGCTTCACGTGGGATTTCCTGTCAACTCTGAATGCAGGCAAATGGTTTTTAAAGGTATGAAACCATGGGTAAGACATATTTCTCAGCTCAACAAACCTGCTTTGAACCTCTGCATGTGGTGCTCTTTGAAATAGAACCAGAGTGTACACACCTTGGTACACACAATATCCCAGTTTGGTAGCATTTCTACCACTGGCAGGAGTGTCTTTCTAGTAATTCACTCAGTTGAATTGCTGCTTTCTACATTCACTGTAAAGTCTGAGGACATACTCATAACCTTACTCTTGTCATATAACCAAAACCAAACCAAACTCAATGCCTTCGAGTCAGATCAGATTCATAGAGATCCCTCCTTGGGCTTCCGAGGAGGTATCACTACAAAAGTAGATTCCCCAGTCTTCCTTCTGAGGAGTGGCTGATGGGTTTGAACTATATAATTCCTTTTTTTTTCCAGTTTTTATTGTGATTTGGGTGAAAGTTTACAGAGCAAATTCACTCTCCATACAGCAGCTCTGTATAGACATACACTTTGTCTCGTGACAATGACTGCAGCTGCCCAAAATGCAACAGCTCCCTTCCCACTTCCTCCCCACGTTGTTGTTGTTGTTATGTGCTGTTGAGTCGGACTCGACTCATAGCAACCCCTCCTTGGGTTTCTGAGGCGGTATCACTACAGAAGTAGATTGCCCAACCTTCCTTCTGAGGAGTGGCTGGAGGGTTTGAACCGCCAGCCTTCTGGTTAGCAGTCAAGTGCCTTAGACATTACGCTACCAGAGCTCCTATATAGTTGAACCATATAATTCCTTTTTATTCAAGCATTGCGTAAACTTTCATAGTGTACCTACCATGTATATAAGGAGCTTTGGTGGCATAGTGCCTAAGGCAATTGAGTGCTAACCAGAGGTTGTCAGTTCAAACCCACCAGCTACTCTGTGGAAAGAAGACGAGGCAATCTTCTTCTGTAAAGATTACAGCCTCAGACATCCAGTGGAGGTTACTGTGAGTCAGAATCAACTTAATGGTAGTGGGTTTCATTTGGTTTTACCATGTATATAGCATTTTCCTGGGCATTTTGAGTAGCCTATAGTTTTATAAATGAAGAGTATAAACATAATTACTCTTTTTTAACATGCATTTTATTAAAATATAATTTATGTACTGTGAAATACACAAAACTAAAGTGACATAGGTCAATGCATTTTTTTTTTGCAGTGTTCCCTTCCCTCCCCTCCCACCTCTGTCAACCAGCAAAGAAAGTTTCCCTCCATATATAAACCTTTCCTTGACCCTCCACAGCAATGAACTAATACTGTGTTTGTCCTGTGATTGACTTATTTCATTCAGCATAATGTCCTCCAAGTTCATCCATATTAGATAGTATTTTGCAGACTGTACATTATTCTTTAGTGCTTCATAGCATTCCAGTATGTGTATGTACCATAGTTTGGTCATCCATTCTTCTGCTATAAATCTTAGAGATAAGTCCCTTGCAAGATAGGTAATTATCGGCAAATATTAATTTGTTGCTTTGGTAGCATAGTGCCTAAGGCACTTGACTGCTAACCAGAAGGCTGGCGGTTCACACCCATCAGCCACTCCTTGGAAGCAAGATAGGGCAATCTACTTCCATAGTGATGCTGCCTCCGAAACCCGAGGAGGGCTCGCTATCAGTCGGGTCCAACTTGACGGCACATAACAACAACAACAACAACATGAATTTATTGCTGTCATTTTTGTTATGTGCTTTCTCGTGGTATCAATTTCTTTGTTCCATATAATTTTCTATGCTGAGCTTGTTTTGTTTATGAATCATGTTATCACATCCTTCATTGCTATTGTTTTAGTATTTGCTGAGT